AATGCACATTAAAGAGATTGTTCATTATTCTTTCTGGGTTGATCTACATATTTATCAAGAGAGCTACATTTGACATGAATAGAGATGGTTCAACAGATGGTCACGCAATTTGAAATTGGGAAGCACCCTTCTAATCCAATCCCTTCATTCTACAGAGAAGTGAGGTGACTTGCATAGAAAAGTGGACTCTTTGCTCAAATCAATAATCATAAAGCCATCCCTATATGACCTTAATGCTCCTACTACGAACCAGCCAGTTACGCACACCTCTCGCTGATATGAGAGGCAACAGATTCCCTGTTCTAAGGGGCAATCTACTAACAACCCCAAACCTCTGCTTGGCCCCAGGACAAAAACTCTTCTATATGAAATCAGCCATATTAAATAACAACTTCTTCATCTATCTGACCTAGAGCTGCTCGTGTTTTTAGAGACATGGCAGACACTGACTACACAACTTCCACTGTCCCTTCCACAGTGCACTCACAAACTAGGAAGATTTGTCTTCTGCTGTCTCAACTCACCTTCCCCCATCTTGCTCTCCCTCTTAGTAACCAGGTGCTGGTATTAGTTTCCACAGACAAGTATTTGCATTTTAAGTTTACTGTGACATTGAAGGCACTTCCTCAAGTCTTAGCACGTGTGGGGCATTGGGAAGCAACTAAAAAGATGTTGTTATTATAGAGATCCTAGGCCCACCTGACCCCTGCCAATAACGGTAAAATAAATATATGTTATGGGACTGGCAGAGAAAGGTAAAGGCAGATAAAAGAATATGTGCATGGATGATATCCCTCCTTCAAAGATCTGCTCATCCCAGGCCCTCTCCTGGTCAGATTAACAGAGGTTTCGTCCAGGCCTAGACTGCTGGACCTAGATTGAAAAATTCTGACTATTTACATAGTCTTTAGGGAAGGCTCACTCAATAGGCCTCTTCCTCCCCCGCATCTGCCCCTTCTCACTTCGCTCCAAGTCTCTCTGATGATTATTACAAATCTTAACCCCTTTGCAGTCTTAAAGAAACACAGAGCTCTATATCCTATATAATTTCTCCCTCTGATTGTGAAGTTTCTGATGATTATGTGTTAGCTCACATCTTTTAGCTTATAAAAATATTGATAATGAATTGCCTTGAGAATGAATGTGCTCCTTGTTATTTTTACAGAACTTTAAGATGATTTGAACTTGGGCTAAGTAATGGCATACGAAGGGTCCCTCCTGGACTTCCATTAGAAATAATGATATTCTTTAAAAAATAGTATTTTAAATTTTTTATTTATTTGTTTGTTTGTTTGTTTTTGCAGAACATTTAACAGATTGCAAATTATTTTTCAGGTACATTTTCTCACTTGATCTCATTTACCCTGTGAAATCGGCAGGGCAGATATTATGATCCCCAAGGGGCAGGTGAGGTCATCCGTTGAAAGTCACACAGATAAAAGAAGCTAACTTGTTTCGCTTTCCAGGGGGTGACCTTTCCACTGAGCTCTGCTGCTTAAAAAAGAAATGAACCCTGCACTGAAAACAACTGATAACACACAGATCAAGCTGTTTTCCTCCGCTGAGAGGAAGAGCGTATGAATTCTTCACTTCTGTCCGTCTCTAGTGTAAATTTCCTAGCAAAAAGGGCAATTCACACAGGCAGCACAGGTCATTTTAGAATCACAAACTCTTAGGGGGCTCACAGGAAGCTCCTCTCCCCCCTGCACTCCAACACATTCCACTCTGGGACAAGTGCAAAACACAGTAATGAAAAGAGTACTAATCAAGTAGACAGTGTATTTATCTTTTGGATTGTTATGCCATAAAATCAGTTTATATTTTTATACAGATATTCATATGTGGCTATAAACCCAAACATTTTTCAGTTACACTCATGTTTACAAACAATTTAAACATCCTTGTTCTTATAATTATCTTGATTGATTAGTGAATATTATCTTAGTCATTGCAGTGGTATAAAAATTCCAGACCCAGACATTATTTATATTTTTTATCTTACTACAAACTTGTTTTAAATTTTGGTTTACAACTTTATAATACCAAGTGTTAGCAGCAATTTTATCTCATAATCACAATCATAAAATAATCATAGAAGCCAAAGTTACCAATATTTGTTCAAAGTATCATGAGAAAGTTTCTGGAAACAAAGTGGAAGTATGCCAGCACTGTGGAAGTCAATGGAAGCTGAAGTGTTAAGGATTAAGAGAGAATTTGCTTATTTTAAATGGTCTTTTACTGATAAGGGCCTACAATTTAGTATATTTTAATAAGTGATGATGACTTGATTTTACAAACAGATTATTTAAGCAGAAAGTAGACAGAAATCTGTCTTCATCTGAGAAATTTAGAACTTTTAGAATTTCGGGTAGAGGCGGTTAAAAAGAGAACAAAGCTATGCATTTTTTTTTCTGAGTGTGATTTTTTAATCTTCAAGGCTTTTTCTTTACAATATGGGAAGTTGTGTGTGTGTGTGTGTGTGTGTGTGTGTGTGTGTGTGTGTGTTTTAATAAATCTTTATTGATTTCAGAGAGGAAGGGAGAGGGAAAAAGATAGAAACATCATTGATAAGAGAGAATCATTGATTGGCTGCCTCCCCTACTGGGGATCAAGCCCACTACCCAGGCATGTGCTCTTGACCAGAATTGAACCTGGGACCCTTCAGTCCACAGGCTGATTATCTAGCCACTGAGGCAAATCAACTAGGGCTACAATATGGAATTTTTTTTTTTTAACTTCCCATTCTTTCCTATCTTTCTTAGAATGTGAACTCAAAAGATCAAGACTTGCTATTGTCTGTTGTTGTATTGCTGTTGTTATTCTTCACCTGAGGACACTTTTTAAATTTACGAGAGAGAGAGAGAGAGAGAGAGAGAGAGAGAGAGAGAGAGAGAGAGAGAGAGAGAGAGAGAATTAATGTGGGAGAGTCATATCAATTAGTTGCTTCCTGCAAGAGCCCTGACTGTGCAGGGGATTGAACCTGCAACCCAGGTATGAACCCTTAATGGGGAATGAATTTCTGACCCTTCCTAGCATGGGAGAGGACACTCTAACCATCTAGCCATACCAGCCAGGGTGCTATTGTATGTTCCTTTATCCCAACTTGAATTTTTATAAATCATGAGATTTTTTTTTTAAATGCTGACATTTAATGAGTAAAAAATTCAACGAATTCATGGTTTCAATTCAGTAGGATAAGCATTTACTAAATCTCCATTCAGCACAAGGCATTGGACCAACTGCTAGGGAGACAGTGAGGGAGTATTGATGCTCCCTGAAATGATTAGAAGGTAGGCCTTGCCCAAAGGCCCCAAGCCTCAGCAATTCAACCCTTTACAAAAGAAATGTTAAAAGCTTATTGAAATTTTTTAACAAAATGTACTTTCTGTGATGCATATACCAGAGTGACAAATGTTCACCTTTCTCCCACGGTTTAAAGAGCAAATTCCTCATCACAGACTTTCCAATGCCCATTGACTTCATCAGAAAAGACTTTTAAGTACTGAGAAGCTGTCAAGCTCATGGCAATGGATACATGTTTTCTAAACTTATAATTCTAACTTGAAGGCTCAAAAATTACCATTGACAATAATTGCCTCTTGTTTTCCTGGAAGTAGCAAGTACATGGTTATTTTTGAAAAACGTCTGTCAATTACCTGTCTGAATAACCATAGTTTGTCCATCGTTCTTTCAAGACAAAAACATGTTCAATGAAAGTAAAAGTAAAAACACTAGTTCAGCCTACAATTCAAGCATGGAAGTGTTTTCCTGGAAATAAATGTGGCACTTTGGTATTCAGCACACATGCTTTATGCATACTTCCTATTTTATCACACTGAATTTTAAAAAATGTACGGAAGGGTTGAACTTTAATAGATTTAATAATGTTTATATATTATTAACTATATTCCCTGTGCTGTACATTACATCTCCATGACTTAGTTTTTATTGTTGACACTATTACAGATGTCCACCCAGCCCCCACTCCACCCCAGGCCTTCATGGCATTGTTGTCTGTGTCCAGGGATTATGCATATAAATTCTTTAGCTAATCTCTCCCAGTCCTCCCTCCCCTCTCCCCCCTCCCCGCTAAGATTATTTTTACTGCTTTATCAAGACCTCTTTCAAGTGACACTGGCTTTCACAGTTTGGTGCCTCTGCTTTGGTTCAGGATGAGACAGACACCTGCACTTTTACCCACCATTTTTGCACCGTTGGTGCAAATGTCAATACAGAGAAAGAGTCAAATAAGCCTTAGCATTGTCATCAAAACTATTTTGACTTGGCAGACCCCTTGAAAGGGTCTCACGAACCTCCAGGAGGCTCTGGACCACACTAAAAACTGGGTGTCTGAGCAGACAGAAATCACAATTCTTTCCGTTTATTTAATGCTTGAGGCTTATTTATTATTGTAGATTTGATCACTGAGCGTCAAACGAAAGACTTGCCAAGGTGTTGAACCCATCCAAGAGATACATTCCATCGCGAGCAGCTCAAAAGGCTCCCTTAAGGAAGAAAACAGTTCTTGGGGGTTTGGGAGGAAGAGATGTCAGGACGCCGGCCCAGCTTGCAGTTGCCAGTGGCAACGATCGTCAGCGGCGGGAGCTCGGCCATCGATTAGTCGCGCCTCACGGCTGGAGGAAGCCCTCCCGGAACGCGCGGCCGCCGAGGGGCAGCGGGAGCTCGCCGGTTCCGCGCTCCATTAGAGTGGCTGCCGCGGGTTCGGGCTACGGTCGGGCTGGGAGGGAAGATGGCGGCGGTGGCGGCGCGCGGCCCCGTGGGCAAGGGGCGCGACATCAGCCTGGCGGCCCTGCAGCGCCACGACCCCTACATCAACCGCATCGTGGACGTGGCCAGCCAGGTGGCTCTGTACACCTTCGGCCATCGGGCCAACGAGTGGGTGCGTGCGCACGCGGCGGTCCGTGCGGCCGGCGGGCGGGGCGGGGCGGGGCGGGGCGGGGACGGGGTCGAATCCCCCACGGGGAGGGCCGCGGCGCCCCGAGGATCGAGGCGGACGGCGGTGGCTCGCGGGCACCAGGCTGAAGTTGGGGGGGGTTGTACCCATGGCCCCGGGGCTTGGGGGAGAGGGAGGCCGATCGGGGAAACCATCGGGAACCGGGCAAGACTTAAATACCTGCGACCCCCGAGCTGGGAGACCCGACGGATGGGGACGGAGCGGAGAACCCGGGGAGCGGGACCCGGCGCCCTGCGGCCAAAGACTGGACTCGGCGGCGGAGGCGGAGCGGCAGCGGTAGAAGGTGGCCGTAGAGGAGGCGGGAGAGATGGTGCGGTTCTAGAACTTCATTCCCTGCGGGGACCAGAGACCAAACCTTGACAGCTGGGCGAAATGTGAAACCCCGCACTCAGGGAATGCACCGAGGAAAGAGCGAACATCGGGGAATAAAGGACTAAAGGCGAGGCTGGCTGTGTACTCCACAGCCCATCAAGACCAACAGTGGATAATGTTTGAGTCCACGTGGGAGCCGAAGGACTCTTGTCAAGCAAGAACACCAACAAAGAGCAGTAGAATGAACTTTAGTTTTCTCACCATGAGAATCGGGTAGGAGCATAAGACACCTGAGCCCTCCAGCAGGTTACCAGAGGATTTTGAATGTAGAGAGACGGATTTTTTTTTTCTCTTTCCCTCCTAGTGATCTTTGTCCAAATAATATTAATTTGTCAATTATATCACTCTCCATCCATTCCTTCCAAATAAGCTACAAAACAATAGGAAGCATTGAGCCTGGAAGAATGGATTTCAGATTTGTAAAAAAATGTATTCTCCAAGAAGGTATCAAAAATGTAAGCAAGAAAACATCCATATTGAACAAATTCATATATTTTTAAACATACTCATCTGAAAGTCACTGACAAAAATAAAAAGATAAAAAGTTAAGTCTTAAAATGAGAGAAGAGCAGTTTTGCCCTGAATTCTTAACTAAGGAATGTTTCTGAAATGGGCTTAGGGCTGCTTTCCAAGTAGCCAAGACAATAACAACAATAATAATAATATAAAAACAAAGCATGAGAGCTCGTTAATATTCATTGTTTTACAATAGGAAATGTATAATTTATTCTAAAGGTTCTGCCACCTGGGTCTTTATATAAAGGACATTGAGCAACATAATGGACAGTTTCAAAAATGGCAACTTAAAAAAATGCCAGAGGCATAATGTCAATTCTGTCAACTTAAAAAACATGTTCTACTCATGGCTATTATACTGCCCTACAGGAAAATGCCAGAGGCATAATGTTATAATTCTGTCAAGATAATTCTACAGTACAGATAAGGATCAGAGATGCATAGTTCAGTAAACTGACTTGACACCAGGATTAGAGTCTGGAAAATCCTGAAACAGAGATCATTCCTCTTGAATAACAATTGTTTCCTAGAGGCTTTTCAGACAGATACCTATTAAAAAGAGTTACAGATATTTACTAGATACCCAGTGAGACCCTTACACTAAAGCCTCATGAAAAGGTAGAAGAGTCATAATGTGTTATTTACAAGATTATGTTTATCCTGCTTCCTGGACTTGTTCCTTCAGACAAGGCACAATTCATTCTGTAAAAGATCATTCTTTCAAAGTACTAATCTTCAAGGCTGTGTTAGCCAGAAAATAAGAGACCCATTTAGCTGCAGAGCAGTTGCTAGGAGTAAAATTGTCACCATTGTATCCATATGCCATCACTCAGGCCTTTTGGATGGGAGCCTTTTGAATACAAACCTAGTGAACATGTAAAGAACATTCTTGAGAATGGAGGAGAAAGCATATGTAAGAAGGAATGAGGTGTGTAAAGGAAGGGAATTCTTACTACACTGAGTCAGAGCAGAAAGAAGTAGGAAGAAGGAACAGAAATGAGCTGCTTAGAATTAAAGATATCACTGAAATAGAAATTTTAGAACTAAACCTACTTCCTACCATTAGGAAAAACTACTTCCATACTTGTGTGTGGAAAAATATAATCTTGGTGTTATTTCTCTTGGCCATGAGAGCAGTAATTCTTGAGTTGATTTGACAGTGTCTGGAGAAAATTTTGGTTGTCTTACTGAGAGAGGTGTTACTGTCATCAAGAGGGTAGATGCCAGCGATGTTGCTAAATATCCTACACAAGTGCTGAGCTTGAGAAACTACCTTAGTGACTAGTGTCCTATTTTTTCTAGCTAGTAAGGGTTTCTGAGTTCTGTGTTATCACAATTTCTGGATATGAGGCCCAAGCATTTGATATTTGTTGATATTTTAGGTGTCTTGGATGCCACCTACTTGACTGAGAAAGACAGGTTTAGAGGGTAAATAGAGACCTACTTTTTCATTATTTTAACATAAAATAATCAGTAAGACAGACTGCATTGAGTTTTTTCAGAGGAGTCAAATAGTGTGGTAAGTCCCAATAGTTTGTAAACTAACACTATTTTTTCCATTGTTTTATTTCAAACTTTGAACTGCTTAAGTTTTAGCATTTGTTGAATTATTTTTATATTAAATAATATTAAATCATTAAATTGTACTTGTTGCTAAGTAATTTACTCTTGATAGCTATTTGCTCTTAAAAATCAGTTTGTTATAACTTGGACCATAGTGGATTTTGTTTTCATGACTCCTAATACAGTTTTGTGGACAGAGATTGTTATTGAATTAAGGCAGTGGTTCTCATATAGCATCAGAATCACCTGAAAGGCTTAATAAAAGAGACTGCTGGGTATCAGCCCCAGAGTTTCTGATTCTGTAAGTCTGGGGAAGGACCCAAGCATTTGCGTTTCTAACAAATTTTCAAGCGATGCTGCTGCTGCAGATGTGGGGACCCACTGAACTGTGAGACTAAATTTTGCGACCCACTGAACTACAGTGACCAAGAAGATTGCTGAAATTACTTGAGCTTGTGAGAGGACCATGCTTCCAATTTTTTTCTGAGTGCCTTTTAGAAATTATAATTTTAACATTATACCTTTATTCTTAAAGAGTGTGGTTTTCACCAAAATTACAGAATACTTGCACTTTGAATGATTTTGGTAATGGATATTAATAAAATACTAAGGTTAAATAGAATATTGAAATTAAGCCATGTAAATAGCAAATGTACATTTAAATTTTTGAATTATAACAGTCTGATTACTAGTTAATCAAACAAATGGGTACTTAAATACTTTTTATAATGTAATGTACTAATGAGCCTTTTTATCAGGAGATGGGATCCTGCCTTTGTTGAAATGGAAAAGAGCCTTTCTGAATGACCTAAAATGATATCATGTTAACTTTACCACTTCTCCAAGTTTTTCTTAGGCAAACTTCTTGAGTACTAGTTTGGTAATGTTTCTAACATAATTTCAGAAAATCGAAACTTAACTCTGGCCTGACCAGCAAGGCTCAGTGTCAACCTATGAACCAGGAAGTCACAGTTCAATTCTGGTCAGGGCACATGACTGGGTTGCAGGCTTGATCCTTAGTGAGGGGCATGTAGGAGGCAGCCAATCAGTGATTCTCATCATTGATGTTCTATCTCTGTCCCTCTCCCTTCCTCCCTGAAATCAATAAAAACATATTTAAAACAAACAAACAAACAAAAAACAAAACCTTGGTTCTAGTCCACACCCAGTAGGTGATTGAAAACAATGGCATTGTTGTTGTCTTCTATGTAGTAGTCAAAGTAGAATTATTGGCAGATCATCTGTTCTCCTAGGTGACAGGATAGAGCAAGAGAAAATGAACCCAGAAAACAAAGAGGAGGGTAATGAGGTGCACTCATCAGTGATTTCTGCAGCTTGCCATAGAACCTGGTCACAGGGCAGAGGAAAGGCAACACACATAACTTCTTTCTGATGAGATCCATGGAGCACTGTTATTGTTTCAGCCATTCCTGCTTTTAGTAAAGGAAGATAATGATGGTTTATTTTGCAAAAGAAAAATTACTGCTTCCTGCTGCTTAATCAGCAAAGCTACAGCCAGGCAGAGATCCTGCTTTTCTCCTTTCCTGAAGAATAACCCCTCTTAAATTAGATGTTGCTTAGATTTGGTCCCACTTGAAACTGGGCATAATTCCTGTGTACAATTCTGTAAGAAGTTTATGTTCTTTAACCTCTGTGAATGTTTATTAATGAAGAGAATTACATATTTTGCTATTTGTTTTGTTTTTATGTTCTAGGAGAAGACTGATGTGGAAGGAACCTTATTTGTTTACACAAGGTAAGAGTACTTTTAGAAAGAACTGACAGTCATTCTTTGGTTGTAGTTTTATTTTTAAGACAAGTAAAAGAAGTGGCCATAGTTTGAAGTTTTTAGTTAACACAAGGGAATACTGAATAATGTAATGTCACATGGGTTAGTGTGACTATTTCAGAATATAATTTTAGAACATAATTTAAGTTTTCAGTATAGATGAACTTAAATCTATGTATTTTCTAAAAGTAGTATTAAATATTTATTCTTTAGTTTAAACAAATGGTACAAAGTTCTTGAATATAATGCATTAGCAAAGAGCTAGAGATACACTATTAAGAATATTAGATTATTTAATCAATATTTAGAAAGGGCCAGATGTTTATCTTTTAAATTTTTATTTTTTAATTACAGTTTATATTCATTGTTGTTTTGTATTAGTTTCAGATGTTCAGCATAGTGGTTAGATAATCATACTTTACCCAATATTTCTTGTACTCAACAGGCGCCAGACATTGTTGTTACAATATTGACTTGACTATATTCCCTATGCTGTTCTTTATACGATGCTGTTCTTTATACGATGCTGTTCTTTATGACTATTTTGTAACTACCAATTTATACTTATTAATCCCTTCACCTTTTTCACCAGTCCTCCAACCTTCTGGCAACCATCTGTCAGTTCTCTGTATCTCTGAGTCTGTTCCTGTTTTTTTTGTTCATTTATAGTGTTCTTTAGATTCCACATATAAGTGAAATCTTATGGTATTTGTCTAAATATTCCACACCCAATAGGGTTTTATTGCTGTCTCCCCTACTACCCTTGACTGTTTAAAGAAGCATGATCCAAAACTAAAGATGTCTGAGTCCTCCATTATTTAATTAATAGAATACGTTTCAGGATAGATTTAATACACTATTTTGTGAATAAATTTAATAAGTTCATGTTATTAATAATTTATATCAAATATTGAAAGTGAAAGGGAGGGATGTAAAGAGAGAGCGAGAAACATTGACGTGAGAGAGACACATCCTTTGCCTTTCTCACTTGTCCAGCTGGGGTGGGGATCAAACATGCAACCAAGGTATGACTTCTTGACCAAGAATTGAGCCTGCAACTCTAGTGCTCCAGCTGACACACCAACCACTGAGCAACATCAGTCAGGGCTGTATTAACCCTTTTAGGGCTAACAGTTTCATTGGGGACACAGAAAATATACACACACAAGTATATATTTTTCACACATGCACTCACATTTAAAGATAAACCACAATGTAGACAGATTACCCTAAGTGCCAGGTGATAGGTTATAGGCAATGAATGGGCACTTTGTAGAGTGGTGAGTCCTGAGTCAGCCTCAGGAATACAGATAGATCTTAACATGCTTAAGGGAGAGGGAAGGGCAGTCTCAACAGCAACAATGGCATAAGCAGAGACATGAAACCTATTATAGTGATAAAGGGACAGTAAGGGAAATAACTCTGGTGCAGAGTTTACATTGGCTTATATTAGTGAGAAATTAACAGTAAGAGTAAAGCAATTTTGCTGCCTTGGAATGTCAGACTAAGGATTTTGAAATTTATTTTCTTAGCAGTATGGAGCCACTGAAGGTTTATGAACAAGGGAATAATAGAATTATAACCAAATGTGTGAGGAAAGTCATTGTAGGCATCATGAGGTTGTGTTGACTCTAGAATAAATTGAAGCAGGATATTGAGTAGATATGTGCAGTGGAGATGAGATGATGAGAGTGGACAAGAGGGATGGAAGTTGAAATGGAAAGGATTTATTGAAATAATGCATGTATAGAGGGAATGGTAACATTTAAAAAATAATAGTAAGATTTTGGAATGGAAGACTGAGAGAATGACAATTATTGATGGAATGGAAAAGTAGATAAAGAATCTGGTTTGAAGAAAATTTCTTTGGAAATAATGATTTTGAAATGATAGCAGGGCATTCAGATAGAGATGTCCAGTCACTCGAGTGGGATCAGGGCTGGAATGCAGAGTTTAGAGACATCTGCATTAATTTGGTCACTGAAACCATGAGAGAAAGTAGGTTCTTTGAAGGAGAAAGAGGAAACTGAGGAAAACTAATGGTTGGTTTTAGAGCCTGCAGGATACAGAGAAGAGTCAGCCATAAAGGTAAAAGCAGAGCGAACAATACAAAGAGGCCAGTTGTGGGCATAGCCAGGAACAGTGTGAGTCTGTGTGTAGGTGGAAGCAGAAGTGGGAGTGGGAAGAAAGGCCTGGATGGGCAAGGCCATCAGAACAGGTAAGGAGGTTAGTTTATTCAGTTTCAGAAAAGCGGTGGGAGTGCTCAAGAGTCGTTGGCTATAGTAGTTTATACTGTGTTCCAAACATTCCAAAAGCATGGGAGCACACCACCAAGTGAGCTTGTTCAGGAAAGACTACTCTTAAGAATTCTGAAGAATGAAAAGAAAAGCAAGTGATTGAACTTTACTGTGTGCCAAGCACACAATATGCATTCTCATTCATTTCTGAAAATAAGTATTATTATTTTAAGAAGATATATTAATATGTGTTAATGGTTTATTTTGTGGGGTGGACTTTTAGTAGGGTTATTTTTTTTTTAGTGTACCCAAACCAAATGTAAGGTTGTGTTTTCAAATACTTCTTAATTTGAGTTCTTAGAGGATCTGTCACTTTAAAAAAAATACATTAAATTGGGAAACAAATCCTTATCTAATAAAAGAGTAATATGCAAATTGACTGTCATACCAATACACAAGATGGCCACCACAAGATGGCTGGCAGGGGAGGGCAGTTGTGGGCAGTTGGGGGTGACCAGGCCAGCAAGGGAAAGCAGTTAGAGGGGACCCAGGCCTGCAGTGTAGAGCAGTTTGGTGTGGAAACAGACCTGCAGTGGAGGACATTTGGGGGTGGGGGGGGAAACAGGCCTGGGACCAGGCCTGCAGTGGAGGGTATTTGGGGGGGACCAGGCCTGCAGGGGAGGGCAGTTAGGGGTGATCAGGCCAGCAAGGAAGGCAATTAGGGGTGACAAGGCCAGCAGAGGAGGACAGTTGGGGGGGATGACCCAGGTTGCAGGGGAGAGCATCCCTCAAGGGGTCCCCAATTGGAGAGGGTGCAGGCTGGGCTGAGGGACCTCCCCGCCTTCCCCATCCCCACCCCCCAGTGCACTGGGCCTCTAGTATCTTTATATCTTAATCTCTTCTTCAAATATTATTCCTCCTTAATAGGAGTTCCTTTCCCCTACCATCTTCCCCAAGATCCCCCCCAGCCCCAGTGCCAGTTTCTATGATGTTGAGGTCTTTCCTCTGCAGAGAATGGCAGAAAGCTTATAAAAATCAAAAGGGAGTTTTGGGTACAGGTAATGGAGCTGCCAGTGATATTTTTTGCTCTGTATCCAGACTGAGAGGTTAATGAAATACTTGAAGAGTCAGTATGTTTATGTGTAAAAATACCTAATCTTATTTTAAAAAATTTTTGTCTTCTTTTTCTCTCATGTTTTCTTTCTTCCTTCCTTCCTTCCTTCCTTCCTTCCTTCCTTCCTTCCTTCCTTCCTTCCTTCCTTCCTTCCTTCCTTCCTTCCTTCCTCTCTCTCTCTTTCTCTCTCTCTCTCTCTCTCTCTCTCTCTCTCTCTCTCTCTCTCTCTTTTTTTTTTTTTTTTTTTTTTTTTTTTAAATAGAGTTCATAGAGAACCCACTGGTGATTTCTGAACTTAACACTTCTAAAAGACTCTGTCAGAGATCTTTGGAAGTCAATTTTCATTCTTCCTCAGAATTTAAGTTGAAATGATTATCATGATTATGTCTGGTTTTGATTATATGCCTAACACCACTTTACCTCTCTGTAAAATTAATTAGACAAGGATTGGCTTCCATCAATTTTTAAAATTGGAGGGCTCAAAAGGAAATGCTGTATTTTACTTTTTTTATCATTATCAAATCAGATGTCAAGCTTATATCAAACTAAGATATAAATACCTTGTTACTCATAACACTTCTGTGGGTTTGTTAACGCCGGTACTCTAGTTTAAAGTAAATAAATGAATTCTGCTTTCACTTTCAGTTTGTAAGCATATGGGGTTTCATTTGTCACAGAAGCTGCGTAGTTGAATTGCTATATGGCTGTCACCCAAGGTTAGATAAATGCAAGTGTAGTTATTAGAGTTTATACTCTGTATAACTTGGGTTCATTCTGCCTAACAGAGAGTAGGCACTGAAGGTTTATTAAATAAAAATAAAAAGTCACTATCTGCCACATTTTTATAGAGAAAAACTTTATAGTAATTTATCTATAAAGCTATTTGCTTTAAAGAGAACAATAGATCGCTTTGTACATTAAATTCTATAAACTTTTAATTATACTGTATTTCCTTGCCAGTTTATTGACCAGAGTTGCATCATTTCTTTAAAAAGTTTCACTGCTTTTAATTTCAGGCCAACACTAAGATTTTCTGTGAAAATTTTCTTTATGTAATTGTGATATACATTCTTTATTAACTATCATGTAATTACCATCTCCTCCTTAAAGGAATTTATAATCTAGATAGGGAAACAAAATATATGTAGTTAAACTAGAGGCCCAGTGCACAAAATTCATGCATGGCAGGGCAGTGTCCCTCTGCCCAGCCTGCACCCTCTCCAATCTGGGACATCCTTCTCACAATCCAGGACTCCTGGCTCCCAACTGCTCACTGTCGTGCTTGCCTGATTGCCCCTAACCACTTCTGCCTGCCAGTCTGATCACCCTCTAATCACTCCCCTGCCAGCCTGATCGATGCCTAACTGCTCCCCTGCCGGCCTGATTGTTCTTAACTGCCCTCTCCTGTTGGCCTGGTCACCCCTAACTGCCCTCTGCTTGCCCGGTCACCCCTAACTGCCTTCTCCTGCAGGCCTGACCCCCCCAAATTCCTTTCCCTTGCTGGTCTGATCATCCACAACTGCCCTCTCCTGTGGTGGACATCTTTGACCACATGGGAGTGGCCATCTTGTGTATTGGAGTGATGGTCAATTTGCATATTATCTCTTTATTAAATAGGATAAGTAGAATTTTATTTTACCAAAGGATTGGTAATGAGAGTCATGCTGCATGTGTTATGTAAATTAATACCTTAGTGCTATTAGCTACTAGTAAAGAATCATTGCTGTACAATCTTTTTGCACAAAGCTATATAGACTTACAAAAAAGTCAAAGGCGCATTTGGAATGTAGTTATACTAAAAATACCTATACTATACTGAACAACTTGTTTTTTGATGTTCTCCCCAACTCTTGTGATTCTTAGGTCTGCTTCTCCAAAACATGGGTTCACCATTATGAATAGGCTGAGCATGGAAAATAGGACAGAACCCATTACTAAAGACTTGGATTTCCAGCTCCAGGACCCTTTCCTTCTCTACAGAAATGCCAGATGTGAGTTTTTCTTAATGAATGGGTGGTTTTATTTCGGCAGTTTTTCCAAGTTTTTAAAATTGTATAGTGTATGTACAGTGTCAGTGATTCTAGGAGTCAGGATTGGTTAGCTTGAGAAATGCATGCCCACTTTTTTCCTTGGGAAAGTTTACAGGAAAACATTGTGAATATAATGATGTAAGTATTCAAACCCTGTCTTCTGCAATGAGACCACTTTGCAGTGTGAACCCATCGGGGTTTCTAAACCTTATCAGTGCTGGTGAAAAGTTTTGGGTCAGGAGACTACAGAGGGGCACCTAGGTGGTGCTGGAGGCCATAAAATGAATGATTCAGCTGGTGGCACTTTTTCGCGGCGTGTGAGCCTTCTGATATTATGTTTGGGGGAGAGGACTAATATTCTAAAATTGCCATCTTTTGAATATATAGCAAAGTCTAAAGAATTTTAGTCATTAAGAATTTCATAAGACTTTATAATGTTGAAGTCTTAGGTAACTATGTGGTCCTCTACCAGATTTGAAATGAGGTAGAAATTGCCTAGCCAATATTCTGCTTATTTTACTCGTGCATTTTATCTGACCACTTGTGTTGGACTATTGGACAGCCCAGAGAAAAATTGATGGAAAATATATAAACTGCAAGAGCATCTATGTGTGTTTGTGCATGCCCATGCTCTGTGCTTGTAGATACCTTTCAGAAAGACCTTGCAGTTAAATGTTTTTCATTCATTTTCCACCCTGCTTTTTGAGCTCAAGATATAAGAATTTGCCACTATATACTATTCAGTGTAATCTTAATAAGGAATGTAATACAAGTGATATTTGATGTTATAACTCCAATGAATTGTTTTGAAATAAATATAACATCCTTTTAATGCTATATTTACCGGTACTTATAATTATATGCATATAATTAAGTTATGATAAGTGGTCATCCTATTATTTAGAGAATATGAGTAAATTTTCATGAGAAAAAAATGAAAGCTATTAATGACTTACTAATGATAGGTCCTGTGAGTGAAATATTTAGTAAAATAGATAAATATTTTATTTTCTATTCCTATTTCTTTGCTAGAAGATATAGTTTCAACAGTTGTAGCTTGTAGTTTGAGTTATTTGTATAGTAACATTAGATTTTATTTTATTTTTTGAGATTATTAGGTTCTATGTTAAATAATATATAATTTAAATACTAATAATATAGCCATATAAATAAATATAAAATAAATTAATATTAATGACTTACAGTAATCATTTTTGGTAGCTCTTACTTTGTATAAATGCTTAGTCTAGTTAGTACAGATACTATTTTAAGTTCTTATTATAATATTATGCATCACATATTATGTACAAAAATATAAGAAATATAAACTCTTTATTATGGTTAATTTTAAAATTGACTTTCCTAAGTCCCAGAGGATTTATCTGATAGGTAATACTATTTGAATCTAATAAACATATATTAAGCCTCACCTTGTTCCAGGCCAATGCTAATATGGTAGTCTAACTGCATGTGGCTGTTGAATACTTGAAATGTGGCTTAGTCTGAATAGAGCTGTGCTATGAGTGTAAAATACACATTGATTTTCAAAGACAATACAAAGAAATGTAAAAAAAAATTCTCAATTTTATATTGATTTAACTGTTGAAATGATAATACTTTAAATATGTTGAGGTAAATAAAATGTTATTGAAATTAATTTCACCTGCTTTTTAGTTTTTTTATTTTAAAATTTAAAATTACATATATGGTTCACATTGTGGTTCACCTTACATTTCTATTGAATGGCAATGACCTCATCATTTTCATTTCTTTACTATATTTTATAATCACAACTTTGTAGGATAGACATTTTCACTGCCATTTTGCAAATGAGCAAACTGAAGTTCAGTGAGGTGACAGACCTGACAGGTATTCACAGATTCTACTTTCTCTTAACTTTTTCTTAGAAATACTAATATTTATGTTTTATAAAAATGAAAAACTGAGGTTAAAGGAGTTAAGTAATTTATTATGGCCCATGACTATTTGGAAATGGAAACTGCATTGAACCGAGAAAGCCTAACTTCAAAAGCCCAGGCCCGCCCAGCCATGGGTCAGTGCTTGAGTATTGACCCATGTACCAGGAGGTTGCTGGTTTTATTCCCAGTCAGGGCACATTGATCCTCAGTAGGGAGTGTGTGATCCTCAGTAGGGAGTGTGTGAAGCAGCCAATCAATGTTTCTCTTTCATTGATGTTTTTATATCTTTCCCTTCTCTATCTCCCGTCTCAAAAAATCAATAAAAACATATTAAAAAAAAAAAAAGCTCAGGCCCAAACAGTGAAAGTACTAACACATGAATGATGTATTGAGCAAGGTTTACTTCTCACAAAAATACTTAATCTTTTTATTATAAGCTCCAGTGTTTGAAAAAACAAGTTTCTTTTGTAAAAAGTTGAGTATATGTTGTATTCCAGTTATTAGAGAGGAGACTATCAAATAAAAACTAATATAACAAAAAGCTGAATTTGACCATTTCTTTCATATTATTCCCTTTAGTAACCTTTTACTATTTCATATCTAAGTAAGATTTTGGTATATGGAGATATATTTTAAAAATGTATTTTCCCAAATATATAATAATATTTAAGATAATTTACAGACAATAATGACAGGTAGATTTCAGAGCTAGGCCAACAGCTTGAATTATTATTGTCTATGCTAAGAAATTCTTTTGAGCTGCTTGCTTTTATTGAAGACATAAGACTGGAGATCAAAGCAAATTATAAAAGGCAAAATCAAGATATTTAGGATCAAATGAATTTTAGAAAATTCCTCAGTTTTAAAGTGAATTTACTTTGCTTTGGTAGTTTTGTATTAAAAAAGAAATACAATTTAAATTCTTTATTGATATTTGTAGGATCTGGGAAAATTTGCTAAATAATGGGAAATGGTACACTGAATGGAAATGAGAGTTACAAGCAGTTGTTATCTTTCAGATAATCCATGGTCTAGAACACATGTGTCAAACACAAGGCCCGCGGGCCAAATCCGTCCCGCCAGGCCTTGCAATGTGGCCCGCACTGCGCTGTCATCACTGCACTCCGCTGCGTTTCCATCACAATGACAGTTTATGACTGCTCAGTAAACCATTCGGCCCGCGATTTAGGCTGGATTTTAGATTTTGGCCCCTTCTCTGATTGAGTTCGACACCCCTAGTCTAGAAGTTCCCTTTTAAAGTGATTGGTGGGCCAAAACCGGTTTGGCTCAGTGGTAGAGCATCGGTCTGTGGACTGAAAGGTCCCAGGTTCAATTCCGGTCAAGGACATGTACATTGGTTGCGGGCACATCCCCAGTAGGGGGTATGCAAGAGGCAGCTGGTTGATGTTTCTCTCTCATCGACATTTCTATCTCTCTATCTCTCTCCCTTCTTCCTCTCTGTAAAATATCAATAAAATATATTTAAATAAATAAATAAATAAAGTGTTTGGTGGTATTTTAGTTACAGGCAGTAGATTAAACACATTCCTGAAACTATAGAAATGACAATAAAGGGGGGGGGGCAAGATAAACCCACAAGAGTGTTGGATGTATTTCATGTAAAAGATTGAGTAGACGAGAGAAGAAAGCATGCTATAATATGATAGCTATGTTATTCATAATTATTAACTTTGTCTCCTTACAGGAGATTATATCTCTGTTTTGTTCATGTCAGACTTGATTATATACTTTGGTTTCCCCTCAACCCCTCCACCCACACTGACCCCTCCAGAAGGATATTATGTGGTCACCTGTTGAACTCAAATAAGAATGAATTGCTTTGACCAATAAAATGTGGGTAAGAGTTATATATGTCACTTATGAGCACATACTTTAACAACTAGCTCATGATTCATCATGTCTCTTTTCCTTCTGCTATGATAACTAACAGTATTCTAGGCAGAGGCTGCTCTGTCAGCCTGCGTCCTGAAATGAAAATAACATGGTACAGAGGTAAAAGCAACCCATGATCAACATGTAATGTGTATGAGAAATAAACCTTTGTCGTTGTAAGCCTTTGAGATTGTGGAGTTATTTGTTACTGCAGCATAACTTGGGCTACTGTGACTGATGCACAAGCCATCAAAGAAAAAAGGGATCCAAACACAGAATGGAGGTAAAGGAATCTTGAGAACCATGATAAAGAGGAATCCCATAATGACTCCAATGCAATTAAACTAAAGATCATTCAGGCCAAATTAAAGTAAAAGGATAGAAGTCTTCAGGATGAGTGTCCAAGGAAAATTTTATAACTGGTAGCATGAATCTGTTGAAACATTTATAGTTCCTTTTAAGTTTGATGATATAGGAACATTGAAAAGTGTGGGGGTGGGAGGAACAGTAACAAAATGAAACAATTCTTAATTCCTGGGAAAACAAAATATTGTATAAGAAAGGAAATGTAATAGTCTACCATATGGTTCTACAGATCATAATACTTAATTAAATTATAAACACTGAATGTGAAATTATATTATACTGGAAGGGTGTGTGTTTGTGAGAGTGTGTGTATATTATCAGAGAACTAAATCCTCAATAGATTTTAAAAATCAAGAAGTAGTGTATGCATGCTATATAGTAAAAGATTTAAATGTCAGGAGAAAAGTTGGACAAGAAATAAATGAAGAGCAAAAACAACTTATGGGTAGAATTAAGATTGTTTTGAAGGAACAGTAATGGCTAGGGAAGAGTTCTCTGTCAAATCTTATAATGTTTGATTTTAACTTATGTACATGTATTATTTTGATAAAGATAAAAATTAAAAATATAATTGGATATCATTGCATTCATAAAAGCAATTTTTTAATTGGTGGTTAGGTTTTTAAGTCAACTCACAAGAGTCTTTCTAGCCCAGTGTATACTTACCTAAAAGTAGCACACTAACATTATAATGATGTACCTATGAAATACACTGGTAGCACTAGTGTGTGTGTATAGCATTATTTCTGTAGGAAAATTTATTCAAGAATAAAACTTGGATAG